CCAAAGAAGGGCACAACAACAAGAGTGGGTCATTGCATGTGGTTTTATTGGCATGGCTTGGGAAGTCTAGTTCCTACCCCAAATCAATCCCCCCAGATGGAAAACTTTGAGGGCCACCACGGGCCTGACCGGAGGCTCACTGGAACCTCTCCCGGAAGGCGTTCCAGAGGCCGCTGAGCTGCCCTTGGAGGTTCTCGGCCAGCGGGACCAGCTTCTGGTGGAGGTCCTCGGCGTAGGGGTGGAGGTTGTGCCGGACGTGGTGCAGCCCCTCGGAGAGGCTCCCTTGCAGGCGCTGGGCCAGGGGCTCCACGCCTTGCCGGAAGTCCTCCACCTGCTGCTGGATCTTGCCCTTCATGTCCTCGGCCAGGGGCCCCAGCTGGGCCTGGAGGTCCTCCACGTTGCGCTGGAGGTTGGCCTTGAGCTCCTCGGTGCCGGAGGCCAGCGCCTGGCGCAGGGTCTGCGTGTGCTGCTCCGCTTGCTCCAGGAGGTCCTCGGCGAAGGGGGCCAGGCGCTCCTGCAGCTGGCTCACCCCGCCTTGCATCTTCTGGTTCAGCTCCTCGGCAAAGGGCTGCATCTTCTCGTTCACCTGCTTCAGGTCGGTGATGATCTTCTGCAGGAGGTCCTGGGCCACCGGCGGGAGCTGCTTCTGCAATTCGGCCTGGTAGCTCTGGGCACTCGCCAGGCTGTCGGAGACGCGGGCACTGTGCGGGGAGAGAAGAGCAATGGGGTCACGCATCGGCCGTGTTATTTCGGCTGCATGCATTGCATAGTTTGCCTTAACTGCCATGGCTCCACACTATGGAGTAGTAGTTTTGCAAAGTCCATAGCCTTCTCTGTCTGCGTCTACACTGTAGAAGAAATCTAGGTTGAAGGAGTAGTAGTTTTGCAAAGTCCATAGCCTTCTCTGTCTGCGTCTACACTGTAGAAGAAATCTAGGTTGAAGGAGCAGTAGTTCTGCAAAGTCCATAGCCTTCTCTGTCTGCGTCTACACTGTAGAAGAAATCTAGTTTGAAGGAGTAGTAGTTTTGCAAAGTCCATAGTCTTCTCTGCATCTACACTGTAGAAGTAATCCGCTTCAACACCACTTTCAGTGACATGGTGCAATGCTATGGCAGATGAGGCACCTGCACACTCTGGCAGTGGACACAAAGACCTTGTAAAACTACAACTCCCAGGATTCCAAAGCATTGAGCTGTGACAGTGAAAGTTGTGTTGGACTGTACTCAGTCTACACTGTCCTGGCACAAAGCTATGGCAGATGAGGAACCTGCACACTTTGGCAGAGAACGCAAAGACCTTGTAAAACTACAACTCCCAGGGTTCTTGCCATCTCCTTGGCAGTGTACGCAAGGGCCTTGTGAAACTACAAATCCCAGGGTTCTTGCCATCCCCTTGGCAGTGTACGCAAGGACCTTGTGAAACTACAACTCCCAGGGTTCTTGCCATCTCCTTGGCAGTGCACACAAGAACCTTGTAAAACTACAACTCCCAGGGTTCTTGCCATCTCCTTGGCAGTGGACACAAAAACCTTGTAAAACTACAACACCCAGGATTCCAAAGCATTGAGCTATGAGAGTCAAAGATGTGTTGGACTGAACTCATTCTACACTGCCATGGCATAATGCTATGGCAGATGAGGCACCTGCACACTTTGGCAGTGAACACAAAACCTTGTGAAACTACAACTCCCAGGATTCCAAAGCATTGAGCTATGACGGTCAAAGTTGTGTTGGACTGCACTCATTCTACACTGCCGTGGTGCAATGCTATGGCAGATGAGGCACCTACACACTTTGGCAGTGGACACAAAGACCTTGTAAAACTACAACTCCCAGGATTCCAGGCCTCAGACAGTCAAAGTTGTGTTGGACTGCACTTATTCTATACTGCCATGGCGCAATGCTATGGCAGATGAGGTACCTGCACACTTTGGCAGTGTACGCAAGGACTTTTTAAAACTACAACTCCCGGGGTTCTTGCCATCGCCTTGGCAGTGTACACAAGGATCTTGTAAAACTACAACTCCCAGGATTCTAAAGCATTGAGCGATGACAGTCAAAGTTGTGTTGGACTGCACTCATTCCACACTGCCATTGCGCGATACTATGGCAGATGAGGCACCTGCACACTTTGGCAGTGTACGCAAGGACCTTGTAAAACTACAACTCCCAGGGTTCTTGCCATCTCCTTGGCAGTGTACACAAGGACCTTGTAAAACTACAACTCCCAGGATTACAAAGCATTGAGCTATGACAGTCAAAGTTGTGTTGGACTGCTCTCATTCTACACTGCCATGGCGCCATGCTATGCCAGATGAGGCACCTGCACGCTTTGGCAGTGAACACAAAACCTTGTGAAACTACAACTCCCAGGATTCCAAAGCATTGAGCGATAACAGTCAAAGTTGTGTTGGACTGCGCTCATTCTACACTGCCATGGCGCCATGCTATGCCAGATGAGGCACCTGCACACTTTGGCAGAGAACGCAACTACAACTCCCAGGATTCCAAAGCATTGAGCTATGACAGTCAAAGTTGTGTTGGACTGTGCTCATTCTACACTGTAATGACCTTGTACAACTACAACTCCCAGGATTCTAAAGCATTGAGCGATGACAGTCAAAGTTGTGTTGGATTGGTGCACACATTGAATGTGAGATTCACTCCATTAAATAGTCGTCGTCATCGTCATCATCATCATCATCATCATCATCATCCTGTATTTACTCGATTCTAATGCTCAACTTTTTCGACTAAATTGCATTCTCAAAATTAGGGTGCGCATTAGATGTGCATAATATGATAAATGCTTGTTTGGGTTTCTGTGTTTTGAAAATTGAGGTGCACATTAGATTTAACAAAAACAACAACCAGGCATGGGAAAACTTGGGCCCTCCTGTTATATGCATGTAAATAAACAACAACAACAACAACAACAACCAGGCATAGGCAAACTTGAGCCCCCCGGGTGTTTTGGACTTCAACTGTTAGGAATTGTGGGAGTTGGAGTCCAAAACATCTGGAGGGCCCAAGTTTGCCCATGCCGGATAACAACAATAACACTATGCAACACGATTTATTTATGTAACTACAACTCCCATCACTTTTGGTCATGCACACTAGGGATGATGGGAGTTGCAACCTGATAGCCTATGTGGAAAGGCTAAAAGGCATTCGAAAACCAAACATCCTATCCGTGAGCCTTGCATCTAAATCCAAACCCCACTCTCTTAATTGAACAGAACAGACTGCATCCTTGTATCACAACTCCCATCACTATGATGCTTGATGATGACAAATATAGGAGTCGGAGTTGGGTATCTGGAGGGCCACATAACATCACATGGGGGGCCAGATTTGGCCCACAGGCCTTGAGTTTCACATATGAGTCTTACAGTTTAAGGACTGCAGAACGGTTAGAAATGCAAACGCAAGACTGAACGCTAGATGGCCAGCTTGATTAGCATTGAATGGCCTTGCAGCTTTAGAGCCTGGCTGCTTCCTGCCTGAGGGGGGAATAATAGAATCCTAGAGTTCGAAGAGACTTCACAGGCCATCCAGTCCAACCCCATTCTGCCAAGAAGCAGGAAAATTGCATTCAAAGCACCCCTGACAGATGGCCATCCAGTCTCTGTTTAAAAGCCTCCAAAGAAGGAGCCTCCACCACACCCCAGGGCAGAGAGTTCCACTGCTGAACGGCTCTCACAGTCAGGAAGTTCTTCCTCATGTTCAGATGGAATCTCCGATCTTTTGTTGGGAGATGTTAGCTGGCCCTGATTATTTCCTGTCTGGAATTCTCCTGTTGTTTGAGTGCTGCTCTTTGTTTACTTTGGTTTCAAGGAGGAAAACATGAAAACAGAACAAAACAAAATCTGGCAACCGGTATTTTTTTAAAAAAAACCTCTAAAACAAGGACAGTAAACAAAGAGCAACACTCAAACAACAGGAGAATTCCAGACAAGAATCAATCAGAGCCTGCTAATACCTCCCAACAAAGGATTCCCCCAGGCAGGAAGCAGCCAGGCTTTGAACCTTCAAGGCCATTCAATGCTAAGCAAGGGGGCCAATTGCAACATTCACACTTGCCTCCAGCAGACAAGACTTCTTTCTCTCACCCTGGACATTATTCCACAGATATATAAACAGGCAGTAAGCAGCCAGACCTTGAAGCTGCAAGGCCATTCAATGCCAATCAAGGTGGCCAATGGCAACATCCACACTTGCCTCCAGCAGACAAGAGTTCCTTCTCCCATCCTGGACATTATTCCATAGATATATAAACAACAGGCAGTAAGCAGCCAGATCTTGAAGCTGCAAGGCCGTTCAATGTTAATCAAGATGGCCAATGGCAACATCTGCACTTGCCTCCAGAAGACAAGAGTTCTTTCTCCCACCCTGGACATTATTCCACAGATATAGAAACAGGCAGTAAGCAGCCAGACCTCGAAGCTGCAAGGCCATTCAATGCCAATCAAGGTGGCCAATGGCAACATCTGCACTTGCCTCCAGCAGACAAGAGTTTATTTCTCCCACCCTGGACATTATTCCATAGATATATAAACAACAGGCAGTAAGCAGCCAGACCTTGAAGCTGCAAGGCCGTTCAATGTTAATCAAGATGGCCAGTGGCAACATCTGCACTTGCCTCCAGCAGACAAGAGATCCTTCTCCCACCCTGGAGATTATTCCACAGGTATATAAACAGGCAGTAAGCAGCCAGACCTTGAAGCTGCAAGGCCATTCAATGCCAATAAAAGTGGCCAATGGTAATGTCCGCACTTGCCTCCAGCAGATGGCATTAAGAAGCCAGACATTGAAGTTGCAAGGCCATTCAATGCCAATCAAAGTGGCCAATGGCAACGTCCGCACTTGCCTCCAACAGACAAGAGTTCTTTCTCCCACCCTTGACATTGTTCCACAGATATATAAACAGGCAGTAAGCAGCCAGACCTTGAAGCTGCAAGGCCATTCAGTGCCAATCAAGGTGGCCAATGGCAACGTCTGCACTTGCCTCCAGCAGACGGCAGTAAGCAGCCAGACTTTGAAGCTGCAAGGCCATTCAATGCCAATCAAGGTGGCCAATGGCAACGTTCGCACTTGCCTCCAGCAGACAAGAGTTCCTTCTCTCACCCTGGATATTATTCCACAGGTATATAAACAGGCAGTAAGCAGCCAGACCTCGAAGCTGCAAGGCCGTTCAATGCCAATCATGGTGGCCAATGGCAACGTGCGCACTTGCCTCCAGCAGACAAGAATTCTTTTTCCCACCCTGGACATTACTCCACAGGTATATAAACAGGCAGTAAGCAGGCAGACATTGAAGCTGCAAGGCCGTTCAATGCCAAGCAAGGTGGCCAATGGCAACGTCCACACTTGCCTCTAGCAGACAAGAGTTCCTTGTCCCACCCTGGACATTATTCCACAGGTATATAAACAGGCAGTGAGAAGCCAGACCTTGAAGCTGCAAGGCCGTTCAATGCCAATCAAAGTGGCCAATAGGAACGTCCGCACTTGCCTCCAACTGACAAGAGTTCTTTCTCTCACCCTGGACATCATTCCACAGATGATAATAATAATAATAATAATAGATATATAAACAGGCAGTAAGCAGCCAGACCTTGAAGCTGCAAGGCCATTCAATGCTAATCAAGGTGGCCAATGGCAGCAAACAAGAGCTCGTTCTTTCTCCCACCCTGGACATCATTGCACACATATATCAACCTCCTTTGCCTAATTTCCAACAGACCTCACAACCTCTGAGGATGCCTGCCATAGATGTGGGTGAAACGTCAGGAGAGAATGCTTCTGGCTAGTTAACCTGGAGAACTCACAGCAACCCAGTGATTCCGGCCACGAAAGCCAAGTGAAATGCTCCCAATGCATCGTTGGGGTCACTGTGACTTTGGGTCACGGTGCCAGGACCGGCCCAAGCTTCGAGGTCGGCACAACCTGTGCTTTGGAGGAGGATGTGGAAAGAGCGGCTTGGCTCGCTTACTTGATCTCCCGGCCCAGCTCCGAGTTGCGGATGGTCTGCAAGTTGTCGGAGGTGCTTTTGGAGATCTTGTCGATGTATTCCCGGATGGTGTCGTGGATCTGCTCCAAACGGGGACGGCGGGGCTCGTCGCTCAGGAAAGAGGCGTACGATCCTACAAGAAGGACAACACATCCCATCATCCACGACTCAGAAGGAGTCCCCCAAAAAAGCAAACCTAGTGATTGCCATTTGGCATTTGTTTTGCTGTGCCATTGTGCATCGTAGGGCTTGGGCATCCATGGATCCCATCATCCACGGCTTGGAAACATTCCCCTAAAAGAAAACTATTATAGACTTATTTTGGTTTGCTTTCTGAAATATTTCCAAGTTGTGGATGATGGGATCTGTAGTTGCAGTATCTGTGGATGCTCAAGCCCTATTAGATACAATGCCATAGCAAAACAAAACAAAACATTGCTCATATAAAGCTCATGGTTTCTTTTGGGGAATATTTCCAAGTTGTGGATGATGGGATCTGTAGTTGCAGTATCTGTGGATGCTCAAGCCCTATTAGATACAATGCCATAGCAAAAAAATAAGCATTGCTCATATAAAACTGGAATATTGTGGTTCGCTTTCTGAAATATTTCCAAGTTGTGGATGATGGGATCTGTAGTTGCAGTATCTGTGGGTGCTCAAGCCCTAAAACAGCATTGCTCATATAAAACTGGAATATTGTGGTTCGCTTTCTGAAATATTTCCATGCTGTGGATGATGGGATCTGTAGTTGCAGTATCTGTGGATGCTCAAGCCCTATTAGATGCAAAAAAAATAAGCATTGCTCATATAAAACTGCAATATTGTGGTTCGCTTTCTGAAATAATTCCATGCAGTGGATGATGGGATATGTGGTTGCAGGATCTATGGATACCCAAAAGCTATTAGTTGCAATGGTATAGCAGAAGAGCCTTCCATTATAATAGTGGTTCCCAACCTTTGGGCCTCCAGGTGTTTTGGACTTCAACTCCCATAATTCCTAACAGCTGATAAGCTTGATAGGAGTTGGAGTCCAAAACACCGGCGGTCCAAAGGTTAGGAACCACTGTTATAATGGAAGGCTCTTCTGCTATACTATTGCAACTAATAGGACTTGAGCATCCACAGATACTGCAACCACGATATTGCATCCACAGATACTGCAACCACAGATCCCATCATCCACCACATGGAAATATTTCAAAACGCGAACCACAATATTGCAGTTTTATATGAGCAATGCTGTTTTTTTTTACTATGCCATTGTATCTAATAGGACTTGAACATCCACAGATACTGCAACTACAGATCCCATCATCCACAACTTGGAAATAGTTCAGAAAGTGAACCACGATACTGCAGTTTTATATGAGCAATGCTGTTTTATGCTATGGCATTGTATCTAATAGGGCTTGAGCATCCACAGATACTGCAACCACACATCCCATCATCCACCACATGGAAATATTTCAAAAAGCGAACCACAATATTCCAGTTTTATATGAGCAATGCTCATATAAAAAAGGACATAAAAAGCCAAAAAACAAACAAAAATTACATTACAACGCATATGCCAAACCACATATATATATGCAAACACACATATACACACACAAAACACATGTACACAGACTGGGCCACAGCAATGCGTGGCAGGGGATGGCTAATAATAATAATAATAATAATATCAATATCAGAATGGATGGAAACTGGGGAGGAAAAACTTGGGTGACAGGGTAACCAATAATAATAATAATGATAACAACATCAACAACAACAACAACAACGACAACAGCAGCAACAGCAGGATTGAAGAGAAACAACAGGAAAAGCTGACACGATACGAGGATGTAAAGATTGAACTGCAAAGACTCTGGCATAAGCCAGTAAAGGTGGTCCCAGTGGTGATCAGCACACTGGGTGCAGTGCCTCAAGACCTTGGCCTGCACTTAAACACAATCGGCACTGAAAGATTACCACCTGCCAGTTGCAGAAGGCCACCTTACTGGGATCTGCACACATTATTCGCCAATACATCACACAATCCTAGACACTTGGGAAGTGTCCGACTTGTGATCCAATACAACAGACAGCAGAGTCATCTTGTTGTGTATCTAATAATAATAATAATAATAATAATAATAATAATAATAATAATAGCAAGATTGAAGAAAAACAACTGGAAAAGCTGACACCAGATGAGGATTTAAAGTCACTTGGGAAGGGTCTGATGTGTGATTCAGTACAAAAGCCAGCAGAGTGATCTTGTTTGCAGTGTACTAATTTTGTTGTGTACCAAATAATAATAATAATAATAATAATAGTGTAAAGGTAAAGATTTTCCCCTGATATTAAGTCCAGTCATGTCCAGCTTTGGGACTCTGGTGCTCATCTCCATTTCTAAGCTGAAGAGCCAGCATTGTCCGTAGACACCTCTAAGGTCATGTAGCCGGCATGACTGCATGGAGTGTCTATACCAGTGGTTCTCAACCTGGGGGTCGGGACCCCTGGGGGGGTCACGAGAGGGTTTTAGAGGGGTCACCAAAGACCATCCAAAACCATAGTATTTTCTGTTGGTCATAGGGGTTCCATGTGGGAAGTTTGGCCCAATTCTATCATTGGTGGGGATCAGAATGATCTTTTATTGTAGGTGAACTATAAATCCCAGCAAAAACTCTCAAATGCCAAGGTCTATTTTCCCCAAACTCCACCAGTGTTCATTCACATTGGGCATGTTGAGTATTCATGGCAAGTTTGGTCCAGATCCATCATTGTGTGAGTCCATAGTGCTCTCTGGATGTAGGTGAACTACAACTCCAAAACTCAAGGTCAATGCCCACCAAACCCTTCCAGTATTTTCTGTTGGTCATGGGAGTTCTGTGTGGCAAGATTGGTTCAATTCCATTGTTGGAGTTCATAATGCTCTTTGATTGTAGGTAAACTATAAATTCCAGCAACTACAACTCCCAAATGACAACATCAATCCCCTGCCAACCCCAGCAATATTAAAATTGGGGCATATCACGTATTTGTGCCAAATTTGGTCCAGTGAATGAAAATACATCCTGCATATCAGATATTTATATTATGATTCATAACAGTAGCAAAATTATAGTTGTGAAGTACCAACGAAAATAATTTTATGGTTGGGGGTCACCACAACATGAGGAACTTGTATTAAGGGGTCGCGGCATTATGAAGGTTGAGAAACACTGGTCTATACCTTCCTGCTGGAGCAGTACCTATTGATCTACTCACATTTGCATGTTTTCAAACTGCTAATTTGGTAGAAGCTGGGGCTGACAGCTCACCCTGCTCCCCGGATTCGAACCTGCAACCTTTTGGTCAACAAGTTCAGCAGCGCAGCGGTTTAACCCACTGCGCCACTAGGGTTAATAATAACAACAACAACAACAACAACAACAACAACAACAACACCATCATAATGGATGGAAACTAAGGAGGAAAAAGTGGGGTGATGATGCAATGATGATGATAGTAATAATAATAATAATAATAATAATAATAATAATCCTTTCTGCCTTATATTTTACTTGTATTTTGAAATGGTCACATGACTGGTCAAATAAATAAATAAATAAATAAATAAATAAATAAATAATAATAATAATAATAATACCATCATAATGGATGGAAACTAGAGAGGCAAAAGTGGGGTGATGATGCAATCAATGGTAATAATAATAATAATCCTTTTTGCCTTATCTTTTACTTGTGTTATATTTTGAAATGGTCATTTGACTGGTCAAATAAATAATAATAATAATAATAATAATAATAATAATAATAATAATATCTTCCCTTGCAAAGTGATTCCTGGTTTCTCTTTCTCTTGTGGTCCTATCTGATGTTGATAATAATAATAATAATAATAATAATAATAATAATAATAATAATACTTTCCCTTGCAAGCCGATGCCTTGTTGCTCTTTCTCCTGGGGCCCTATCTGATAATAATAATAATAATAATAATAATAATAATAATAATAATAATAATTGTAATAATAATAATAATAATAATAATTGTAATAATAATAATAATAATATCCTTTGCAATAATAAAATCATAATCATAGTAGATATAAGATTTATGGGCTCTCGTGAAAAGATGCCATCAATGCCAACGATTTGGCCCAAAGGGGGTCCATTTATCCATCTGTCCATCACTCACCTGTCAGGACGGCCAAAGCGAGGAAAACGGCGCCGAACCTCATGATGGCCACTGGACCCGAGGGGCTGAAAGGCAGAAAGAAGGGGAATGGTCACTCGATGGCTCGGTGGCTTCCATTTATGGGGCGAGCGGGGTCAGGACAAGGTGACCCCCTTCTGCACCGGTCACTCATTAACCCGAGGCCTTTGGCAACCAAAGGAACCTGGACGCTTGGCCAAAGCAAACCCTGGAGCTCCAAACAACATCTGGAATGAGTGGCATCCAATGGAAGAAGAAGTTGCATGACAAACGAGGTCCAGTTTGGACTAGACCCCAAAATATCCCCAAAATATTCCCTACCTTTCTGCTTACCTGGCTCTGCAGGCTGCTGGCTTCTCTCGAGTAGGCTTGTTTGCTCCCCTCCGCTTGTATTTATACTCTGTTTGCGCTTATCGCATCTCGAAGGCCGCTTATCGCATTCCCGGGCTGGAGATAGGCAACCGTGCTGGACTCGAACCCGGACCATTGCAAAGCGGACTCTGCAGGAGGGTCCAAATGGTCCACGTGGACTGCTTCGTCCTGGGTTCAAAATCCAAGATGCAGCTGGCAATCCGAAGGAGGGACTTTGGATGCAAGTGGCCTGCCTCGCAGGGGTGGAAATGGGAATAAGGAGAGGTTCAGCATCCCTGTTCCAAAAGGATGTGGTCCAGGAGTCTTATGGATGAAGACTTCTTTGTTGTTGTTGTTGCAACGCCTGCATTTGATTACGACATCTCTAAAGTTGCATCCGCACTATAGAATGAATGCAGCTTGGCACCACTTTCATGGCAATGGTGTCCTGGGAGATGTAGTTTGCCAAGAACACCCTTAGACTTTGTAGCTATATGGTGCATCTCTACTATAGAATGAATGCAACTTGGCACCAGTTTCATGGCAATGGAGTCCTGGGAGTTGTAGTTTGCCAAGAAGACCCTTAGGCTTCATAGCCATATGGTACAATTATCTGCAATAGACTCCTGGGAGTTGTAGTTTGCCAAGAAGACCCTTAGCCTTCATAACCAAACAGTAGATCTCTACTATAGAATGAATGCAGCTTGGCACCACTTTCGTTGCAACGGAGTCCTAGGACTTGTAGTTTGCCAAGACCGCTTTGAGTCCCCTTAGGGTGAGAATAGTGGTATACAAATACTTTGTTGTTGTTGTTGTTGTTGCAACGCCTGCATTTGATTATGACATCTCTAAAGTTGCATCCGCACTATATAATGAATGCAGCTTGGCACCACTTTCATTGCAATGGAGTCCCAGGACTTGTAGTTTGCCAAGACCGCTTTGAGTCCCCCTCGGGCAGAGAAAAGCGGTATACAAATACTTTGGTATTGTTGGTGCTGTTGTTGCAATGCCTGCATTTGATTATGACATCTCTAAAGTTGCATCCGCACTATAGCATGAATGCGGCTTGGCACCACTTTCAGGGCAATGGAGTCCTGGGAGTTGTAGTTTGCCAAGAAGACCCGATCCTTTATAGACATTTTATAGTCATATGACTGGTCAAATAATAATAATAATAATAATAATAATAATAATAATAATAATAATATCATAGCCATATAGTACGATTCTATGCAATAGATTCCTGGGAGTTGTAGTTTGCCAAGAAGACCCTTAGCCTTCATAGCCATACATTGCATCTCTACTACAGAATGAACGCAACTTGGCACCAGTTTCATGGCAATGGAGTCCTGGGAGTTGTAGTTTGCCAAGAAGACCCTTAGCCTTCGTAGCCATATGGTACAAGTCTCTGCAATACACTCCTGGGAGTTGTAGTTCTCCAAGAAGACCCTTAGCCTTCATAGCCATATGGTACGATTCTCTGCAATAGACTCCTGGGAGTTGTAGTTTGCTAAGAAGACGCTTAGCCTTCATAGCCATATGGTACAATTCTCTGCAATAGACTCCTGGGAGATGTAGTTTGCCAAGAAGACCCTTAGCCTTCATAGCCATATAGTACGATTCTCTGCAATACACTCGTGGGAGTTGAAGTTTGCCAAGAAGACCCTTAGCCTTCATAACCAAACAGTAGATCTCTACTATAGAATTGAATGCAGCTTGGCACTACTTTTATTGCAATGGAGTCCTAGGACTTGTAGTTTGCCAAGACCGCTTTGAGTCCCCCTCAGGGTGAGAAAAGCGGTATACAAATACTTTGGTGTTGTTGTTGTTGCAACGCATTTGATTATGACATCTCTAAAGTTGCATCCACACTATAGAATGAATGCAGCTTGGCACCACTTTCGTTGCAATTTAGTCCTGGGAGTAGTAGTTTACCAAGAACACCCGTGGACTTTGTAGCTATATGGTGCATCTCTACTATAAAATGAATGCAACTTGGTACCACTTTCATTGCAATGGAGTCCTGGGAGTTTTAGTTTGCCAAGAAGACCCTTAGACTTTGTAGATATATGTTGCATCTCTACTATAGAATGAATGCAGCTTGGCTCCACTTTCGTTGCAAAGGAGTCCTGGGAGTTGTAGTTTACCAGGAAGACCCTTAGCCTTTATAGACATATGTTGCATCTCTACTATAGAATGAATGCAGCTTGGCACCAGTTTCATTGCAATCGAGTCCCAGGACTTGTAGTTTACCAGGAAGACCCTTAGCCTTTATACACATATGTTGCATCTCTACTATAGAATGAATGCGTCTTGGCACCACTTTCATTGCAATTGAGTCCTGGGAGTTATAGTTTGCCAAGAAGACTCAGTCTTCATAGCCATATGTTGCATCTCTACTATAGAATGAATGCAACTTGGCACCACTTTCATGGCAATTGAGTCCTGGGAGTTGTAGTTTGCTAAGAACACCCTTAGGCTTTATAACCATACGGTACATCTCCAGACCAAACTAAACAAAGCGTGTCTATTTTAATGTTTACATGTTACAGGTTCGTATTGTTTTCAGTGTGATGAGCCCCTTTGAACCTCAACAACAACAATAACAACAACAACATAACACGATTTGTGTCCCTGGGTTATCAACGTCATTTCCTAATTAGTTCTATCATTAAAAACATGGGGAAAGTTTATGAAACTGCACAAACTTTGTTTTTGCGGGAGGTTTTGCTAGGAATATCTTAAGTTTTGTTTTAGTTTTGCTAAGAATATCTTAAGTTTTACTCTAATTTTGCTAGGAATATCTTAAGTTTTGTTCTAGTTTTGCTTAGGAATATCTTTTGCTCTAGTTTTGCTAGGAATATCTTAAGTTTTGTTCTAGTTTTGCTTAGGAATATCTTTTGCTCTAGTTTTGCTAGGAATATCTTAAGTTTTGCTCTAGTTTTGCAAGGAATATCCTAAGTTTTGCTCTAGTTTTGCAAGGAATATCCTAAGTTTTGCTCTAGTTTTGCAAGGAATCTCTTAAGTTTTGCTCTAGTTTTGCAAGGAATTTCTTAAGTTTTGTTCTAGTTTTTCTAGGAATATCTTTTGCTCTAGTTTTGCAAGGAATATCTTAAGTTTCGCTCTAGTTTTGCAAGGAATTTCTAGTTTTGTTCTAGTTTTTCTAGGAATATCTTTTGCTTAAGTTTTGCTAGGAATGTCTTAAGTTTTGCTTTAGTTTTGCTAGGAATGTCCTAAGTTTCGCTCTAGTTTTGCAAGGAATCTCTTAAGTTTTGCTCTAGTTTTGCAAGGAATTTCTTAAGTTTTGTTCGACTTTTTCTAGGAATATCTTTTGCTTTAGTTTTGCTCAGAATGCCTTAAGTTTTGCTCTAGTTTTGCTAAGAATATCTTAAGTTTTGTTCTAGTTTTTCTAGGAATATCTTTTGCTTTAGTTTTGCTCGGAATGCCTTAAGTTTTGCTCTAGTTTTGCTAGGAATATCTTTTGTTCTAGTTTTGCTAGGAATATCTTAAGAGTCCCAACCTATTCAACATTGTGGCGGCAACAAAAACAATGTTTCTGGAGTAGAGCAACTGTTTTCAAAGTGCGGACTGTACAGTTAAACAGGAAATAATACTTTCAAACCAGGAACAGAACATTTTCCCCATTTTGTTTAGCGTCCAAAGTCCGAGTCCCAGGGCATTGGAGGCGCAGCTGTGGTGGTCCAAGTGGCATGGAAACTGCGATAATTGTGGCGCAAAGCAATTGAAACTCTCCCACTCCAGAGTCCGTTTGCAGGGTTGGCAGAACAGCGCAGAGTGGACTCTGGAGTGTGAAAGTGGCAGAAGAAGGGAGGAAAAACAGGCCTTTTGCCCCGAAGGAGGAGCATTCCTGCCAAGTCAGCAGCGCATGCCTGGCCGATAAGCCTAAGCCCCGGCGACCCTGAACTGTGTCTCCCAGAGATGTGTCCAGCCCATATCAACCGCAAGGAAAAGGGGGCTCACCTCGAGAGAACAACAAACACAAACCAGCCCAGAGTCCACGTTGAAATAAAAAGTGAATATATGCGTGCAAGTGTGTGTGCACGCGCATCTGGTGTCCAAGAATGTGCCATGCCTGGCGTACATGCCCATCTCTAAAATGGGCACACAACTCAGCTCCTAGTTTCCTTGATGGCAGAACAAATGCAAACACACCCAGGCAAAACTAAAATCAATCAATCAATCAATCAATATACCCATCTCTCTCTCTCTCTATCTATCTATCTATCTTGATTTATCTGTCAGATAAAAGGTTGTCCCCTGACATTAAGTCCAGTCATGTCTGACTCTGGGGTGTGGTGCTCATCTTCATTTCTAAGCCGAAGAGCCGGCTTTGTCCATAGACACCTCCAGGGTCATGTGGCTGGCATGACTGCATGGAGCGCTGTTATCTTCTGCCAGAACAGTACCTATTCATCTACTCACATTTGCATGTATTCGAACTGCTAGGTTGACAGAAGCTGGGGCTGACAGCAGAAGCTCTCGCCGCTCCCCGGAATTGAACCTGCGACCTTTCAGTCAACAAGCTCAGCAGCTCAGCGCTTTGGCCCACTGCACCACCGAGGGTGCTGAGATAGAGATAGATAAATACAGATAGAGATACGAGGGTTGAATGAAAAGTAATGCCTCCACCTTGGTAACTCCTCAACAGATGGCAGTACTGGCATACAACAGGTACTGGCTTGTTCAGTAGACTCTTCTCTACAGTTCCCTTTTGAAAGGAAGCCTTAGCATTGAATGGTTGTGTTGTTAAAGTGTGATGTATGGAACCCTGCGCAAATGGTTGGTCAATGTAAATTAAGTCATTGAATGCTTGACAGCAGAAGGTGTCACCCCAAAGGAGATTAATCAGAGAATGCAAGTTGTTTATGGTGATGGTGTTGATGTGAGTACTGTGCATCATTGGGCACAGATGTCAAGGTGGGAACATGCGTGACAAACAAAAAGTTGGACGTCCTGTGACAGCAACCACCGAGTTTCACAAGCAAAAGGTTGACAGATTGATTCAGGACAATCGTCGTGTCACTC